AAATACCACATTTGGTGTGAACATTTGGGGTAGAGTAAACGGATGCGATTTTTGTTATCAAATTTATTTAATCTAACAGAAATATATATATTATAACTCGATAAGGTTTAAGTCTTGCCATAGCTTCCATTCGCTGCACTGTGGATAATCGTTTTCCAATTCTTTCGCGCGATCTTCTTCTGATAAGCCGATTTTTTTTATAAAATGAGGTAAAGAGCCTTATCCTTAAGCTGGTGCGAAATGATTTTTTTTGATGATTAGCTTACTCTGTTAGTTTAAGCAGAAGGAATCCATTCATTGATTTTTGGAGGAAAATTAGAAGTTTTTGGTATATTTAATTTTAATTTGATTTTTGATCTCGAGAATGTCGGATTTTCAACGAATTCGTTCAACATTATTTTTTGAGCAGGCACTTCCAACACGAATAAAACTGTCAAATTAAAAGCCAGTACTATGAAATTTAAACCTCATAATGGTAGATCTATTGTCTAACGATCTGCATTGCAACTTTTTAATACATTGAAACAATTGCTGTACAGGAATTGCTGGAACGCGTACCGATTTTGAGTGAACAATGCTTTAATTATATTAATCATGCAATTAAAAAAAAATCAAAAATAGTTGAAAATGTTCAAATAATTATATTAATCATGTCATTAAAGAAGTTAAAAAATAATTGAAAATAATCAAAAAATAACGAAATGATCATGTAATTAGAATTAATTAATTATAATTTTATTTTATTTTTTAAGTAATTAATTGCACGATGCTACAAAAAGTCATGAAATACACCCGAAACAAAACCTATTATAGGATGTAGCTATGGACGAGTACAACATAAAAATAGGTTCCGCATACATAGTTCGTGCATTCTCCATTTTTATTTTATTTAAAAACAACCGTTATATTCGTCCTTGATGCACTTATCTATTAACAGCGTGACTATTACCTTGCTTATACCAACACATAAAGCGCTTTGACCCAGTTCGCTGTGATTCAAAACGGAAGCATAAACCAACTTTCAATACGCTCAGAAATTCGAAAGTGTATTGACTCGAATTTGTTTTCAAATCGCTTTTTTATTTCTCACATCAGTCATTTGACGCGAAGTGAAAAAAGTCTGGTTTTCTTTATACAGCCCGTTTAAAATTTGAGTTATTATTATAACAAATTTGAATTATTGTTCGCTTCCATTTCGATACACGGCGTTTTAAATTTGAATTATTATTATAAAAAATTTGAATTATTATTATAACAAGTGCGCTATAACGACAGGTATAAATGCTTGAAAGAAATATGTGTTGAGGCAAATCAGCTTTTTGTTAATGCGGTTCTTGCGTAGGTATAAACAAGGTATACTTTTCATCCCATTTCGCGCCGATTCGCAAAGACTATTGATGAACAGCCTTCGCATAAAGGCAAATCCATGAAATAATCCATGGATTGCAATTTCGAAATTTTTTGCCCAAGGTGAAAAGAGCTTTGAACATTCTTTTCACAAATTAGTTTCAAGAACATTCAGGAATTTACCAGTGGTTTTTGGTAAATGTGTAACGAATCAGCATTAGCATTTTGAATATAAATAATATCGGTGGAGAATTGGAGAATACTGAAACCTCAAGTGAAAATGAAGTGTTTTGTGAAGAAAGACTAACCGCCTTAGGACGACATATCTCAAGGCATATCTGCGAGACATGTAGTCAACATTTTTTTATTTAATTTAGGAATTTCGATAATGCTATTAATTAATCGCTAGATGAAACCATTTATGTACATATGAACATACATACTTTATTACGTAGCTCATTTGAGTATGGTAAGAAAATAACTTGTGTCAAAACCAAGCTAATTGGACAATGTTTTCGAGTACTACTCATACTCATCATTTGAACATAAAAAAAAATTAAGCGGCAAATCTGTTTTACGAAAGTCATGTTTCCACATTTTTTTTACTGACTTAACACTTTTTAACGGTTGCCATCATTTTACATTAAAATAATGCAATATTTTAGCTGCTATAAATTTCGCACAGAAAAAGTAATAATTTCACCGAATGTGCAGCTGTCGGAAGGCAATTCCAAACTTCCGAGTTTATTTCTGCCATGAAGAAGCTTCTCATTAACTGTAGGTCCCTCCATTTGTGATACAACATCAAGACGCACACCGAAAATTAGAGAAGCTCGGCCAAACACTTAGCAAAAGTGTAAACGCCAAAACATTATTATTATTTTATTAAAGTTCAAATAAACAAATACATTTGCTACATAACAATGACTGTGTACAGAAACTGAATTGTGAATACAATTATTTCATAAAAATATGATTTTTTTGTTAATACACACGAGAGAAATACGTTTGTAAATATTTTGTATTTTATGTGCGCTTGATAAGGCAAGAAGGAGCTTATTTAAAAAAAAAAAAAAAACCGATTTACTTAATTTTGAAGTAAATCATCGGCTTCGGTAATCGGCCGATTGTTAGAACAAAATCGAACGTTCGGTTCGACTTCGGTTTCGGCCGAAAAATCTACCTTCGGTACTCAACAAATAGCGCTTATTACCAGGGACGTGAACCGGATGAAAAATTTGGTCGGTTCGGTTCGGCGGTTCGAACCGTTGTTGCACTTTTGGATTGGTTCGTCAAAGCGGTTTTTCTGGTCTTTGAACCGGGGTTTCTGTTCGGTTCAACGGTTCGAAAAACAAAAAAATAACGCGCAAATTTAAGTGTCAATTGTCAAGTGCAACAACATGCAAGTTTAAGGGTCAAGTGAGATGGGCTGCCCTTACATTTGATATTGTCACATGGTAAAAAAACATGGTACGTATTACCATGTTTAACAAAAAAATAAAAATAGTGGGTACATTTATCTATTGAAAATTGGTTGAAACGAACCTTTAAACCTTTAAAGAAAGTGGTTCGGTTTTCGGTTCGGATCAAACATTTGTGGAAAATTTCATTTCGGTTAATGGTTCAGTTCATTAATAGAAAAAAGCGGTTTTCCGGCTCCAAACCGGTTTGGTTCAAAACCGGTTCACGTCCCTGCTTATTACAACAATTGAATATTCGATTTTAAAAAGGTATTCGAATAATCGTAGCTTTGCGACAATGGAATTAATGTCATTGACATTAATACACAATTGAAAAGTGAATTAATGTCAGAAATGTTAAAAACACTGTTGCCAACTTAGTGCTTTTCGCACTAAATTTAGTGCTTTAATTCAAAACGCGAAAATTTTTGAGTTTGGTGCTTGGTTCGTTTTTTGGTGCTTTTTTTTAGTTTGAAAACACCAAAACTGTAAATCTGAAACAAAAATGGAAGTTAAATTTAGAGCAATTGGAATTTTCGTAAGGAACTTTACAAAAATGGAAACGAATTCATGGTACAGTAACAATCATAAGCGAATGAGCATATGTTTGTCAAAAAAATATTTGGCAACACCTTAAATCATGCCAGAATTACATACGGTAATTTGCCATTGCCTGCAAAAACGTCCATGTTTCTGGTACCAGGAATCGATCTTTAGACCTTTAGTTCGGGCTGAATTTGTTATATTTTTACGAATATTAAAAAAAGCACCAGAATCTCCTAACAGTAAAATGAACAACGAACCTTTTTAAAAAGGAATAATCGAGTAGGCAGCTATTTTGTACACAAAAAGATTTGTTCCACTATGCGCTATCCACTATGGGAAATCAAATTTTGTTATGTTTCTGGTGCGAAGCGGTCGGAAAGAAAAGTTCTTTACGTTCCTTTAGTTCACGAGATCCATAAGAGACTAAAAGTGTAGTCCACATAGTTCATGAAACTCAATTTTTTGTTGTTACTTTCGTTTGATAGGAATTGTAGAAAAAATTTAACAAAACGAAGAAAAATTAATATTTAAAAAGCGCAAATATAAATGAAACGGCAACGCTGGACACAGCTGCAAATAAGAAAATAATAACAAAAATGTCCAGTCGTTTGGACGAAAATATTTGAATTCATAGAAAGCAGAAGAAATTCGACCGCCGAGCAAGAAACATCAATTTATATTAATTTGAATCGGCATACCTACAATACAATTTTGTATGCATACAAAGTCCATTAAATGCTCCAATAAAAAATATGGTGTTTTTTTTGAGAAAAATGCAAGTTTTCTTGGGTTTTGGTGCTTTTTCAAATTCAAAAACTTGGCAACACTGGTTAAAAAGCATGCAAGCTTTACGGTGATGTGTAATAAAGCCGAGCGGAAATAACATCCATGGAAACTATTTCTTATCGTCCATAGACAATAGTATTACCTTTTCGCAGGCGCAGTAATTCCATGGACATTATTGCTCTATCAGAAAAATATGGACAAAGTACACTTCTAACATGCTACATACTATGAACATAGTATACAGCTTTAAAAGTGCACAATACTACGGCGGACCGCGTTTCGCGTCGCAACGCGCCGTTTTGACACTTCACTTGGCACTTGTATATTCCACATCCTCTACTATACGTCAACAGTGACGTAGGTGCCAATTCGCTGGTGACGTGTGCCGATCCTTCCCTCGAGGGTGGTTTACATGATTTGGTGTACAGCTTTAGATCAACACCTGTGGAACAGGTTGGGGGCTTCTGGTTAAACTTTTTCTTTCTTTATGCTGAAATAAGTATACATATCGTTGTTTAAAGTACAAAATCGCGTTTAAACAAAATGCAAAACCGCGTATCAAGATAATGCAAAACCGCGTATGTGAGGTTGCATAAATTATTTTCTAGAGAGTAAAAACACTCATATTTCAAAAAGGTTCTATTTTTTATAAAGCAATCGCATTTCTGGCTAGTGTATTTCAGGACGAATGGATAAGGATTGAGCCAAGAGCTTGTGTGAGCAAATCCAATTTTTGGCAGCAAATGTCAGTTACGCTGTTTTGCAGAAAAACGATACGCGGTTTTGTACTTTAAACGATGATATATGTATTCATTCTTTGTAGCTTTTTCAACTAAATTGATTTTGTTTGAATTATTTAAGGTTCCGTCTTTGAAAAAACAAACTGATATGTCAGAACGTCAAATTCAGCGATGGTGGCGTTTAAGAAGAGCAGGAGACCGACCAACAACTCTCGTAAAATTTTGCGAGAATACATGGCGATGCATTTATTATACATATAGCTTCATTTTTGGCATCATCGTGCTATGGGATAAGCCTTGGTTTTGGGATATAAAGCATTGCTGGTATGGTTACCCGCATCAGGTGTGTATAACCCAATTGTTTTAATTGAAATCATATACATATGTAGTTATAATACGAGGGGAGGTCAACAAGTTAGGTGCAACAGGGTAAAATCCCTGGGCGCCAGACCTAACTTATAGCGTTTTCTTTTCTCGAAATAATGTTGCATTTAATCAGCCCTGCGCCAAGGTTGTCAAATTTTCGTGTTCTTTTCTCAGCATCTTCACATGCATATTGCGTGAATGTCGCACTCTGATAATGTTGCCATATAAGTGAAATTTTTTTCGAGAAAATAGAACGCCATTATTTTCGAAGTTACAAAATTTAAGAAGTAAGTAGGGTTATATCGTCAGTTGGCGCGCAATACCTCGTATCCGCCAAATGCAATGTCACGTATAAGATAGTCCTAAGATTTCGCGAAAGCGCGAAAAACTTATTTTCTTCAAAACGTTTGAATGGTTTTCTAACCTAACTTACTATACATGAGCTTCTACTGTATATAATTACATTTTTGAAGTAGGGAAGTATCCAAAATAAATTTTTTCTATGCCGCTCATACGTAGTATTGCATTTGGCAGATACGAGGTATTGCGCGCCAAGCGACGATATGTATTTAACCCTCAAACTGGCAAAACTTTAAATTTGGAAAAAGTGGCAAAAAAGTCAAACCGAACTCGAATGTGCTAAGAAAGAAAAGCTTCGCAGCGATGTACACATACAAGCGAACAAATGAGTGAGCATGAGAATAACCTCATATATTCGTGAAAGACGAGAACATAACAAGCAGCTTCTCGCAGCTATATCGGCTGCTTGCAGTGAAATTAACACCAGTGCACGGACTTCGAAAAAATTAATATTGGTAGATTTTGCATACAAAAATTGGTAGAAGTTGGTAGATTTTTTTAAAAGAAACATTATTATATAATTTTTACTCATTTAGGATAAATGAAAGCTAATTAAGGTAAAATGGTGTTACCAAAGCAGCTGAATTTTCGCCTTGGGGATTTATAATGTCAAAATGATGTATTTGTTGTAATTCTTATTGTCATTATGGGTAAAATTTGTTAGTGGAATTTTTGTTTTTGAACTTTTGCCGTCACCTTATTATATGAATTCGCCTTGGAATAAATTGTATTTCTTTATAAAACAATAAAACATTCTACAAAAAAGGTATAAATATGTAGCACATAAAAGTGGGCCCAAGTCATGGCACGATTCGAATCGAATGAAACAAAATGACAGCTGTTTTCTCTGAAATACATTTTGAACTGAAAAAGCGAAGCGCTACCAAAAGCTGTAAAGAAAATTCCCATTCGAAATTGTTTCGATATCGGATGTCTTGATTCTGGCCCTGTTTTACAATAAAACAAACAATTACTCTGCACTTCAAAATTTTTTGATTAAAATTAGTTTTGAAATGATTTAAGTTTACCTTTGGCAGTCTCCCACAAAAAACATATTGCAAACGAAAAATATTTCCATAACAGTTAGTTATGATCAAAGTTAACTCCTTATGTTTATTTTAGGTATGTTCCATGATAAATTATGTATACACTGTGTTCATTTAAATCTCTTTGCTTTCTTTCGGGAAAATATTGGTAGATTTTTAGCCTTTGTTGGTAGAAATGGTAGAAAATAAAAAACAGCTAAAAAGTTGGTAGATCTACCAATAAAGTGGTAAAGTCCGTGCACTGATTAACACCAGTCCGCTCTGCCTTTCGGTTGCCAGCAAAAAATAAAAAACTGATGCTCCCGTTATTGTAAAGTTGAATTCACCTTATGATCGTTCTCAGTTGCTGAAAGCAGTGGCGGTTTATTGTAAGGAAAAGAGACGGTCCATTGCTCTTAGCGACAAAGGAATTGGCGTTGAAGGGAAAATCTTTATTCATGAGTGCTTTACAAAGAGAAATCGTGAATTGATGCGTTTGCTATGCAGCTTAAAAAGCAAAAACGATTAACATCAGCGTTTTCATTTCGGGGGCATGTATATGTTAGAGGCCATCCACAAGCTGACGCTGTTAAAGTATCAGTCTTAAAAAGTATAGAAAGTACTGCAGCTATCAGTAAATAGATGTAAGATTATTATCATAATGTATGTAACTAGCATTGTCACCCTGTCAACATTTCTCCCTTATTTAGTATTATTGCTTTTCTATTTATCAACATACATCTATACTCTTTATGTCATTTCTGTCTCATTGTTATTTTTTCTGACTGTTAATTTAAACACGCCTTGCATACGCACCTTAACATTTATTAAAAATGTATAGTGAAATATGTGAGCTGGCTAGCAATCATGTAAGAGGGATTATTAAACTTTTGTCAGATCGCTACACTGGGTTTAATATTCGAAGCTTAAATGGTGGAAAAATGGATTATTTGAATTTTATTTTTAATAGCTTAAATATTGACTTAATCTGTATTACAGAAACGTTGTTCAAGGATTACATTGATGCTAAATGTTACGCCCTATGCGACTACTCGTTAGTAAGATGTGATAGAACGATTAAGATGCGAGGAGGTGGCATTGCTTTTTACTTTTAGAAATAAGACCAGCGAGCGCTCCGAGTGTACTATACAAGACATGCCTTTTTGGGCATAAAAATGTGTGAATGTATGTCAATTAGCGATGTTAATTTTTCGGCTTTTTCCGATCCCGGGATTTTCGGGATGGCGTTGTCACGATCCCGGGATCCGGGTATTAGTCCCGGGATTTAGATATTCATTACTTTTCAACAACTTGAATCGAAAAAATTGCTTCAATATTGTTTGAGAAGCTCTCCTACCATGAAATAAATAATAAATAAATGGGTTTGAAACCTATTTTTTTATTTAAAGTGGCGTTTTTATTTTTTCTCTCTGACCGCAGGATTTATATTGAAGAACTTTGTAATTTCAAAGACATGATTAATTCCAAAAATTATTAAAAAAATTCAATGCAATGTAGAATAGAAATATGGGTAACAAATGCAATAGGAAATTTCTTTAGAATTAAAAAAATTTTTAACAAGCCTCATTTCGGATACGTGGTTAGTGCGCTGTAAAATTCTAAAAATGTATATTTCTCCTTATAAAAAATTATTATTTTTTCTTAAAAAGCAAGGCCATATTTTAAAAAATTGCTAAAAATAAAAGTTATTTATAATTGTATAAGCTGTCCACAGAAAAAGAATCAGAACGAATCGTTGACTTTTGGCCCTAATTTAATAGATTCTTGATTTGGGACCAGAGAACGAAAACAAACAATAGTAAACGTATCGGTATCGTTTAGTTTCGCTCATAGAAGGTAACGAAACACAAACGATTCAAATCACTCGGAAACATTTTGCGAGCGGTAACTTTACTCTGCTAGCGTTCGCGATAGCTGACGCAAACAAAACAATTGAATGCAGAGAAATAGGGAAACAAACGAAACACAAAGTTAGTGCTCACAACACAAAACTAAACGATTCCTTTAGTGATCCTCTAGTATACATACATACCAGGGTTGTTGGGAATATTCGCTTTCGAATTCGCAATAATCAATGCGGAGCTTTTGCGAATGCGAATGTTGTGCAAGTGCACCGATAAAACGTATATTTGGCAAACAAAATGACAAATTGTTGCCACTATTTTTTGCCTGTGGAGATGCGACGTTAGGTCATGTTACCCGGGCGCCACGCTTGGGAGTATTTGTGTAAAAAAGCTGGTCAAATGTCATATTTATCAACTTTGATAAAAGTATCTTTAATCATATTATTTCCTAAGCTATATAACCGAGCTATCAATGAGCAGTCGTAGAAGCTCCTACTTCAACTTGACCTTTGACGTTCGTCAAAGAAAACATAGGTCTTTTAATAATTCTTTTTTTTCGTTTTCTGTGTTTTAAATACCTGCATTGGTTTCTTTCTATATTATGATTTTTTGGACCAATTTAAAAAAAAAAACTACTAGACATAAAGGAAGAAAGTGTGCACTATAATTTTAAACCAAATTTTCGTGATTTGCTTTTGATGTTACATATATTCGTTTAAATCATGATACAAAAAAGAAGGTAGTTTCATTGTCACTTTTTCGTCGCCATATTAACAACCTGACAATTAAGCAGATTAAGACATTTCGTGCTACTATATCCAATATCTAAAATCCTTAAAATTGTATTAAGTTTTTGTTTATTTAAAGCATTTTCTTCTTAGAATCGAAATTTGAACAAGCAAACGGTCTTTTGTTGGATATGTTTCGGTTATTTGTACAACGGTTTCGGGTTATTGTGTCCACTCTTGCGATCAAAGGATTAAAATTTGGTTTGTTAATAAATTCGGTGTGAAATATGAACTTTTTTTGTAAAAAATACTGTGTAGCCGGAGTTGGGCAGATTATGGTTATTTTAGCGCGGCCGAAGACCTCCAACGCGAAAAGGTTTTCTGCGCGTAAATCCTGTGGTTGGCGTAAGGGTGACTTGCCTTAAAGTTTGCACCGTTCTCTTTCTAATGGGTGGAGTCATATTGAACAGTAAACTATATTTAAGGGGTTCGCCAGCCACCATAACAATCGTATTATGAAATTTCACACCGTTAAAAAAGTATTTGGTTGTGGTTTCAAGTCCTCTAAACATTTGTTTAGCCGTTCAAAAATTTACGACACACGACAATACGACACTTACGACACACGTTCCCACGAAAGTCGGGTCTACGTAACCGGAACGACCCAGATTTATATCTGGCCAAGGACTGTCACTCCAGCAACACTCCCCAAAAACCCTTTGGGGAACTTGTATGCTTCTACAACAACAACAACACTTACGACACCTTGTGAACCACCTAAATATGCATTAAATTCACACCGAAATGTGTATATCAGAAACAGTTATCTTCGGTATAGAAAACGGTAATAGTCCTGGCTAGATACATTATAAAATAATCAGATGACAAAAAGGCACTAAAAAGTTTTTAAATGCTTACATATCGTCGATGTTTTTGCAAAACCGCCCATCGATCAGTTGCAAAACCGCCTAAATCGCCGTTGTGGCAAAAATGAGGTTT